CCTGGGAACCCGCCAGCCGCGCAAAGCAGCCGACAGACGCGTGCAAGAGCCTGTGCTTGTCCCAGGGAATGCGTGGCCGTCCCGCTGCTCCCCATGCGCTGCTGCGCGAGAGGAACAGCACGGCGGGGGGAGAAAATGCTGCGTCCCGGGGGTGTAAATGTTTTCCACTCGCCTTTTTACCTCCAGGAGAAACAGGAAGAGCAGCTCAGGGTTTGCACCCTGGTCGTAAATCCTGCAGAATGAAAACTTTTTGGATGCTGAGTCATTAATGGTTTACTTACACCTCTGATTACTTTTCCTACGCCAACTTTGAAGCTTAAAGGTTTGGCTGCTTTTTTCTTCTTGGAACCTGAAAGACAGTTTTAGGTTCATTTGCTTTAACATGACACCAGCACACACTGTACTTCTGTCTAAAGTTATTACTACAGTCAAGCTTTACTTAAGCATCTGTTCTTATAATACTAATTTTAGCCCACTATCAGATTTTAGGGGAAAATGAACGCTGTGCACTAAACACGATTAAATGTTGAACATGCACCAAGAGCTGAAGCTAACGAGCATCTTTCAGACACAGATCTAGTGAAGTTCAAAGCATCATTCCTGAATTACTAGCGTTGACAGCACAAGTCATAAACACGTTGGTGGAGCAAAACCAAGTCACCAGGGAAGGCACGACACCGTACAACAAGTGCGAGGACGCACAAACGGCACTGAGTGTTGGCCCTGCTGCTCCTCTGGGGGTTGGACACAGTCGCCAGAAAAGCATTTCTAGTTCTGCAGAACTTCATACCCCTAAACCCTCCGTTCAGGAAACTGCCACAAAAATACCAGCAGACTTCTCTGCAGCAGATGTGGAACACCAGACTACTCCAAATCACTCTTGTTCCAGCGCCTCCGCGTTTAAAGGCTGGTTACAGAAATACGCCAGGACATGGCTATTTAAAGACGCTAACTACACTCGAGCTCCACGGGTAAGGGAAGCTCCTCGAGCACGAACCATCTTTCCTCCAAAGTAATTGCAGCACTGATTAAATGCCCCTGTCTCACGTTCTCCAAGGCTGGGAGAATGCTGAACGCGAGGTGTGGCAAGCTACCAGCGTCACCTGACACCAGCCAGTCCTAAAATACCGCCCTGCGGTCCCTCACGGAACACGGGGCTCCAGGGCCAGGCTGCAGGGACACCCCGGGCAGCTCCACAACACGACAGCAACACCAGTTTGGCAGCATTTGTGTCACACAAAAAGAAAATGCCTGCCCAATGCTGCTTAATGAATCCAGGTAATTTCCGCTACGTGCATTTGAAACAAAAGCCAAACAGTGTATACATTTAAATAAATATGACCTTACTTGTTTGAATATTGGTATCGAAGACTGTTCCATCCTGCAGTTTTCCTGTATACCAGCAATGAACAGTGTCTCCTTTCTTCGGGAAGTTGGTTTTATCACCCTTCTTTAAAATTGATTTTGTATACTTTGGCGGCCCCTAAGTTTAATAAAAACAGAGTTATGACTGTTGCATTAGCCAGTCTCAGACCGACTACAGTCCAGACAGAACAACCACTTAGTTCAAGGCACGGGATGTACATGTGCTGTGTCAGGGAATGGCACGTTCACATGTTATTGCAGGGCTCTAACGTTTGGGGAAAACGTAGCAGCGTTGGTGCAGTTTTTAGCAACAAGTGAAGCTTTGGGTGAGTTCAGAGTTGCCCGGATTGGAAAAGACCTCTAAGATCATTGAGTCCAACCACTAACCCAACACTGACAAGTCCTCAGCTAAACAGGGATGTGGTGTGTCTGCCTGACTCTTAACTCCCTCCAGGGGACCCGTTCTAACACCTGACAACCCTTTTAGTAAAGAAATCCTTCCTCGTATCCAATCTAAACCTCCCTCAGCACTACTTGAGGCCGCTTCCTCTTGCCCTGATACTTGTTACTTGGTTGAACAGACCAGTCCTGATTGTTCTTCTCAGTGGCACCCAGTGACAGGACAAGAGGCAACAGTCACCAACTGGGCAACAGGAGCTTCACCCTAAATGTAGGG